ATCCGTGAGATTTTTACCTTAGTTTCGTTTCTTTTTCAGGTTGCAATTCTTACAGTTGCTACCACCCATTTTTAGAATTTTGTAAATACCGAACTAGACGTTGTTTTGTGTTCGCTTCTTTGAATGTACATTTAAGGAGCAATTCATTTGTGCCTATTTTAGTTAGTGCCAGATTTTTTTGACTTCTTTTTCACTTTTGTCAGTTACTATCACTGTTTCACTTTTGTACTTTAATAAATTGTTTATGAATTTTGACAGCTTTTGCTTGCAAAACAATTTTCATGAAAAGGCTGGGTTTCCTCAAAAAAAAATTATACTGCACATCACCGAATAGTGCATGCACTTATGAAACACGCAAAGGAAAGAGTTTAATATGGGGGCGTGCGGTGGAAGGAGTAAATTTTATAGGTTTCAGAAGGAAATGTGCTTACTCAGTTTCAGCAGTAAGCCAAACAGCTTCTAAGAATTATGAAACGCTGATGCGCATGGAAGAAATTTTGAAGAGTAAATAAGTTGTGAATTGAAAATGAAGTGGCAGGGCCACTGGAACAAAAATTAAATGACACATATGTAAAAACACTTCCACAGTTTTGATGCTTGGTAGTTAGAATCAGGTCTAGTGGTCTCGAAACTCCGGTCTCAAAAAGTAGGGTTTTCCGTTAAGTTGATAAAATTCACATGTCCTGTGAAGTATTAAGATTCTGCTCTGGCATGAGCGGTGTTACTAAGGCGGCTTATGCAAAAAGAAGAGAAAGTAATTAGTCTGATCATATGGTAAGGATAAGAGACAGCAAATGAAATCACCGGCGACGCGCAGTAGATGCCCACGTGATCATGCGTTTTTGCAGTATTTCGTGCTGTAGTATGATTGTTTGGAATCCCAGTAGCAGGAATTTGTGACACACGAGTCCTCGAAGTTCAGTGAGTTAATTGCGCAACTGCGTTTTTTATTGGTTTTTGAACGAAGAAATTCCCTTAAAATTTCAGGTTTCCAGCTTCTCCAGTTCCTGAGATAGCAGTTTTCCTCCAAAAAACTCGACGGGCCGAACGAAGAAACACGCATAGCTGGGAGGGTGAATTTAAAATTTTTAAGTTATACGTGGGCACCTTAAAATTGCTAACTCGGGAACCAGGAATCTCCCACCTTCCTGGTTCCTGAGTTAGCAATTTTGAAAAATCAGTATTTTTAGAGAGACTATTTCCTCTCTGATAAAACTATTTATAATTATATTCGAGTTTAGGCTGTAAAAAACATTTTAGAAAATGTTAGGGTCAGTAAAATTAACAAACTTGCTGAACCTCCCACAGTTCCCGAAATTACACCATCCTCACGCAAAGTTGCCCTACAAAATAGCGACTCTGCATCTTTCATTAAGGGTTGTTTCTAATCCCCTTCACAGTTTAAACTATTAGCGCGGAGTCTTTGACGTTTTTCTGATACATTCACGCCTGTTTCTGGCCCTTTGCATGCATGGTAGCACGTTCGTGAGCGGCCTCATCTAGCCGTGTAATGATGATTTGCATTTTGTTTGTTAGTAGAAATTGTATTAGATTTTGTGCGAATAGGATTTGTCAGAGGATTAACCTCGCTCTGACTAAGCGTTTAACTTTTTTCCTTTTTGTTTGTTTGACAGCTTATACGTCCACAGATCGTGTCAAGTAAGCATCACGC